CCGACTACAACAACAACAGTGTCTACAACAGAAGAACTGACTACCGTACTCACAACAGAAACTACAGAGATGACGACTCGGGAGACAACATTAGAAGAAACAACTACAGTAGAACCCACTACAACAACGGTATCGTCTACAACAGAAGAAGTAACAACAGAGGCGACGATTCGGGAGACAACATTGGAAGAAACAACTACGGCACAGCTAACTACAACAACAACAGTGTCTACAACGGAACAAGTGACTACCTCCCCTACAACAGAAATAACAGTGGCGACTTCTCGGGAAACAACATTGGAAGAAACAACTACGGTAGAACTCACTACAACTACGGTATCGTCTACAAAAGAAAAAGAAACAACAGAAACGACGTTACGGGAGACAACATTTGAAGAAACAACTACGGCACAGCCAATTATAACAACACCAGTGTCTACAACGGAACAAGTGACTACCTCTCCTACAACAGAAACAACAGTGGCGACTTTTCGGGAAACAACATTGGTAGAAATAACTACTGTAGAACCCACTACATCAACGGTATCGTCTACAAAAGAAGAAGCAACAACAGAAACGACGTTACGGGAAACAACATTGGAAGAAACAACTGCAGTACAGCCGACTACAACAACAACAGTGTCTACAACAGAAGAACTGACTAGCGTACTCACAACAGAAACTACAGAGATGACGACTCGGGAGACAACATTGGAAGAAACAACTACGGCACAGCCGACTACAACAACAATAGTGTCTACAACAGGAGAACTGACTACCGTCCTGACAACAGAAACAACAGTGACGATGACTCGGGAGACAACATTGGAAGGAACAACTACAGCACAGCCAACTGTAACAACAACAGTGGAAGAAATGACTACCTCCCCTACAACAGAAAGAACAGTGACGACTTTTCGGGAATCAACATTGGTAGAAACAACTACGGTAGAACCCACTACAACAACAACAGTGTCTACAACGGAAGCACTGACTACCTCCTACACAACAGAAACAACAGGGACGACGTTTCGGGTGACAACATTAGAAGAAACAACTACGATAGAACCAACTATAACAACGGCGTCGCCTACAATGGAAGAACTAACTAGCTTTCCAACAACTGCGGTAACAGAAACAACGTTACGGGTAACAATATCGGATGAAACAACCACAGCAAAACCATATAAAACAACAACAGTGTCTACAACAGCAGAAGTGACTACCTTCCTTACAACAGTAGAATCGACTATAACAACAGCGGTGTCTGCAACGGAAGAATTGACTACCTCCTCTACAATAGAAACAACAATGGCAACGGTTCTGGAAACAACACTGGAAGAAGCAACTACGGTAGAATACACTATAACGACGGTAACGTCTACAACGGAAGAAGTAACAACAGAAACGACGTTTCGGGAAACAATATTAGAAGAGACAACTACAGTAGAACTGACTGCAACAACGGGATCGCTTTTAACGGAAGAAAGAACTGTCTTTCCCAAACCAGCGAAAACAGAGTCGACAATTCGTGGAACAACTTTATTATGGACAACTGCGGTAGAACTGATTACTACGACGGCATTGCCCATAACGGGTGAAGTAACTACCTTCGCAACCACAGAGACCACAGAAATGACGATTCCGGAAACAACATTGCAAGAGACAGCTATGGCTGAGCCGATTACAACAACAACAGTGTCTACAACAGAAGAACTGATTACCGTCCTCACAACAGAAAGAACAGAGATGGCGACTCGAGAGACAACATTGGAAGAAACAACTACGGTAGAACCCACTACAACAACGGTATCGTCTACAACGAAAGAAGTAACAACAGAAACGACGTTACGGGAAACAACATTAGAAAAAACAACTACGGCAAAGCCGACTACAACAACAACGGTATCTACAACACAAGAACTGACTACCCACCACACAACAGAAACAACAGAGATGACGTCTCGAGAGACAACATTGGAGGAAACAACTACGGTAGAACCCACTACAACAACGGTATCGTCTACAACGAAAGAAGTAACAACAGAAACGACGTTACGGGAAACAACATTAGAAAAAACAACTACGGCAAAGCCGACTACAACAACAACGGTATCTACAACACAAGAACTGACTACCCACCACACAACAGAAACAACAGAGATGACGTCTCGAGAGACAACATTGGAGGAAACAACTACGGTAGAACCCACTACAACAACGGTATCGTCTACAACGGCAGAAGTAACAACAGAAACGACGTTACGGGAAACAGCATTGGAAGAAAGCACTACGGCACAGCCGAGTACAACAACAACAACAGTGTCTACAACAGAAGAACTGACTACCGTCCACACAGCAGAAACTACAGAGATGACGGATCGAGAGACAACATTGGAAGAAACAACTACGATAGAACCCACTACAACAATGGTATCGTCTACAACGGAAGAAGTAACAACAGAAACGACGTTACGGGAAACAGCATTGGAAGAAAGCACTACGGCACAGCCGAGCAGAACAACAACAACAGTGTCTACAATAGAAGAAGCGACTACCTTCCTTACAACAGAAACAACCAAGGCGACGATTCGGGAGACAACATTAGTAGAAACAACTATGGTAGAACTCACTATATCGACGGTATCAGTTGTAATGGAAGAAATAACTCCATTCCTCACAATAGCGATAACAGAACCAACGTTACGGGAAACAACGTTAGAAGAATCAACTATTACAAAGCCGACTACAACAACAACGGTGTCTACAACGGAAGAATTGACTACCTCATCTACAACAGTAACAACAATGGCAACAACATTGGAAGAAGCAACTACGGTAGAACACACTATAACAACGGTAACGTCTACAACGGAGGAAGTAACAACAGAAACGACGTTCCGGGAAACGATATTAGAAGTGACAACTACAGTAGAACCGACTGCAATTACGGCATGGCCTACAACGGAAGAAAGAACTGTCTTTCCCACCACAGAGACCACAGAAACGACGATTCGGGAAACAACATTACAAGAAACAACTACGGTAGAACCGCGTACAATTACGGCATTGTCAACAACGGAAGAATTGACTACCTTGGGGACAACAGCGACAACAGAATCGATAGTTCGGGGGACAACATTAGAAGAAACAACTTCGATAGAACCGACTACAGTAACGGCATCGCCTTCGACGGACGAGATGACTACGTTCCTCACAACGGCTTTAACGGAGACAACGTTTTGGGAAACAACATTTGTGGAGACAAGTACATTAATGCTTATTACAACAACGGCGTTGTCTACAACGGAAGAGGTAACTAGCTTCTTCACAACAGCGACAACAGAAACGGTGTTTCATGGAACGACATTAGAAGAAACAACTACAATAGAGCCGACTATATTAACGGTATCAGCTGTGACTGGAGAAAGAATTACAGTAAGAAGTACTTTTGTTCCAGCTACGACCACTGTAACAGGCATTCCAGAGACGTCGTTGGAATTAAAAACTACAGTGGTATCAACGACAGTAATTCCAGTGGATGCTTCAAAAATAACAACTGAAACATTGTCGGTAGAAAGATCTACATACAGTGCATCAACCACTACAACAACTGAAATGTCTACAATTGAAGAAATTACCAGATCTCCTACACCAACATTAGCAAGAACTGAGGTTTCAACGACAGAGGAATCTTCTGCATCCACATTAACGACATTGTTAGAAACAGAGGAATCTTCAACAGAAGAAACAACCTCTTCTGTCGAAACCACGATTACACCTACCGAAATTCTCACATCTGAAGAAACTTCTACGGAAACGGAATCTACTTTTGGAACTGAAGTATTTGAAGATGTTGGATACGAAGAGGAATATGAAGAAACGTACAAAGAGGATGAGGAGGAAAAGGAGGAAGAGGAAGAAGGTGAAGAATATGAAGAAGAAACTACTGAAGAATATGAGAAGTGGTCAGAATACAAAGAAGAGACTAGTACATACAGGTCTACCGAAACAACGGAACCAGAGATCTACGAGGAAGTAACTACGGAGACTGTCGAAGTAGTTCCACCTACCACAGCAAGTACAATGGCTACGATAGTTACGAAACCGATAACTGTTGAAATAACCACAATTTCTACATATCCATCAACAACTATGCGGGAAACCACTGAAAGAATTACCACACAGAGTGCTGCTTTTACTATTACAACGCCGGCATCAACAACTGAATCAATTACAGAACTAACTATACCTACTACGGAAATTCTAGTAATGACGACTGAAACACTATCTACAATTAAACTGCCAGAACCAACTCCAATCGGAATAGTTACTACAGGAAGGGAGACTGTGCCTATAAAAGTGACAGTAACGACCGCTCCTACGACGGAACGTGTGGCTGTAACTACAGAAATTCTGATATCGACTTCTGCGAAGACAGAATCAACTACAGAGACTACAAGTGAAGTTACAGAATCATTGACGATTACTTCAACAACGGAGTCGACAACTTTGGTGGCTTTGACTGTAGGTACAGAATCATTGATAACTACTGAAACATCTGAATCAACAATGGGGCCCGTAACAGCAGTTACAGAGTCACTAACGATTGCTGAAACCTCGGAGCCAACAAAAATGACTTCGGCTGTAGTTACAGAATTATTAACAAGAACTGAAACGTCAGAATCTACAACTACTGGAACAACAATAGCACCTACAAAAACTGAAAGTACTGAGACTGTTATTACAACTGAAATCACAGGCGTTACTACATTAAGTTCTATTTATACCACTGAAACAACAGAAACTAGAATTATAACCACACAATTTGTACCAGTAACTGTAACAACAGAAACCACAGAAACTACAACCGAATCTACGGAGACGGAGACTAGTACGTCTCCTACATCTCCAGTTTTAGTTGCAATTACGACAAGTCATCTTCATACTACAGGAACGCCGGAAGCTGTAACTACTACTGAAAGTACCGAAACAACCATGGAAATTTTAAGCACTACTGTTCAAGTACCGGAATTCACAACAGAATCGGTAACTGTATCTGCACGAGAATTAACGGTGAGTGTTACTACAGAAGCTACTTTATCTACAGAGACAGAAGCTGCAATTATTTCTACTACTGGAATTGTGACAGTAATGATAGGAACTCCGACTGCTATTACTCTAGTACCGGAGTTTATAACAGAATCATCAACGTTAAGTACATCGACAGAAGTATTTACGACGACTACTACTGCTAAAACTACTTTGTCTACAGAAACAGAAGCAGCAACTATTTCTACTACTCAAATAACGCCACTAACTACTGAAACTACTGCTCTTACTACTGAGATAACAATGCTTACAACAGAATTGTCAACTAAATTTATAGAAGTATTTACGGCGAGTGTTACTGCAGAAACTACTTTATTAACAGAGTTAGAAACTTCTACTACTAGAATTATGACAATAACTACGGGAACTCCCATTGTTACTACCGCAGTACCAGAGTTTACAACGGAATCGTCAACGATAAGTACATCGGTGACTACTATTGCTGAAACTACTTTGCCAACAGAGACAGAGGAAGTAGCAATTATTTTTACTACTGGAATTGTGACAGTAACTACGGAAACTGCTACAGCTACTACTACAGTACTAGAGATTAGAACGGAGTCAACGTCAACTATTTCTATTACTGAAATTGTAGTAGGAATTGCAGACACTTCAACTTCTAGTACAACTGCTTCGACAGTTGTGACTGAATCCTCAACTGAGACTATAAAAGCAATAACGGAAATTATAGAAACTGTCAAAGCAATCGAGACTACAGAAAGTGCTGTAACTGTTCTTACTAGTGAAAGTATGATAGTAACAACAGAAACTCAAACTCCAAGTTCAGAATTAGCAGCATTTACTACAATATCACCACCCACAACTGTAGAAATGATTGAAACTATTGAAACTACAGAAACAGAAAAGATTGAAACTATTTCAACTACTGAAGCTATCATGTCGACTTCACAAATTCTTACATTCACAACTGGAGTCCTGACAACTATAGAACCTCTAGTTCCTACTAGTGAGTTACCAGAAACCACGGAAGAATATGAAACTATACCTGAATCAGAAATTACATCCACGGAAACTGAGTATATTGGCGAAACAGAAGTAGTCCCCTCTGATGAATACGAGGAAGAAGAATACGAAGAAGAAGAATACGAAGAAGAAACTACTGCAGAACACGTAACATGGTCGGAATATAAAGAAGAGGAAAAAATTGTAACAAGCGAACCTACTGTAACGACGAAAACGACTCCCATAATTTCCACCAGTGAGCTACCAAAATTCATAACTGAGCCATTAACAGAAACTGTGCGATTGGAAGTCGAAAGTGTTACGACAGTTGCTACTACTGAGAGTACGATGATAACAACTGAAGCCTTTGTTTTTACTACTGAGAGCATGATAATAACTACAGAAACACCATTTCTTATTACCGAAATTACAAAATATACAACTAAGCCGACGACTGAGCCTAAAGAATTGTATACTGAGGCAACTAAGATTACTGAAACTGAGAGTAGTGAGACGGAATTAACTACAGAGATCGTTCCGACAACGGCAGAAACTCCCACTTTTACTACTAAAATCCGAGAATTCACGACTGGATTAACTGAGTATATGAAAACATTTACGATGAATGTAACTGTAAGAGTGACTGAGATTTCAAGGTCGATAGAAACTGAGAGTACGGAATATATTCCAATAACCGAAATCCTGATGTTAACCACAGCAACTCCAATTTCTTCCACTGGGTTACCAGAATTCACAATTGAAACTTCTGAAACAACTGAGACCACAGAATTAAAGAGTACGGAGTCTGGCTTAACAACTGAAGTCCTGATGGTGACCACAGAAACTTCAACTACTACCGGTATATTACCAGAATTCACAACTGAAACTTCTGAATTAACTGAATCCACAGAAACTGAGAGCAAGGAGCCTAGCTTAACAACCGAAGTTCCGACATTAACCACAGAAATTTCAATTTCCATTAGTGAATTACCAGAATTCACCACTGAGACAACTGAGACTGAGAAACCATCCACAGCGAATGTAACTATAGAAACTACTGACACTACTGAGTTCACATCAACTGAAAGCACGGAACTTATTCTAACAACCACAGTCCTGACGTTGATCACAGAAATAACAACTTTTTCTACCGGTTTACCAGAATACACAACTGAAACATCTGAAACAACTGAATCCACAGAAACTGAGAGCACGGCACCTGGCTTAACAACCGAAGTCCCAATATTAACCACAGAAACAACAATTTCCACTAGTGAGGTATCAGAATTCATCACTGAGTCAACTGAGACTGAGAAACCGATTACGGTGAATGTAACTACAGAAACTACTGAGACTACTGAGTCCCCAGAAACTGAGAGCACGGAACCTAGCTTAACAACCGAAATCCTGATGTTGACTACAGAAACAGCAATTTCGACCAGTGCGTTACCAGAATTCACAACTGAAACATCTGAAAAAACTGAGTCCACAGAAACTGAGAGCACGGCACCTGGCTTAACAACTGAAGTCCCAATATTAACCACAGAAACACCAATTCCCACTAGTGAGTTACCAGAATTTTCCACTAAGTTAACTGAGACTGAGAAACCATTTACAGCGAATGTAACTACAGAAACTACTGAGACTACTGAGTCCATAGAAACTGAGAGCACGGAACCTAGCTTAACAACCAAAGTCCTGATGTTGACTACAGAAACACCAATTTCGACCAGTGCGTTACCAGAATTCGCAACTACAACATCTGAAAGCACTGAGTCCACAGAAACTGAGAGCACAGCACCTGGCTTAACAACAGAAGTCCCAATATTAACCACAGAAACATCAATTCTCACTAGTGAGTTACCAGAATTATCCACTAAGTTAACTGAGACTGAGATACCATTCCCGGCGAATGTAACTACAGAAACTACTGAGACTACTGAGTTCCCAGAAACTGAGAGCACGGAACCTAGCTTAACAACCAAAGTCCTGATGTTGACTACAGAAACACCAATTTCGACCAGTGCGTTACCAGAATTCGCAACTACAACATCTGAAAGCACTGAGTCCACAGAAACTGAGAGCACAGCACCTGGCTTAACAACAGAAGTCCCGATATTAACCACAGAAACACCAATTCCCACTAGTGAGTTACCAGAATTCACCATTAAGTTAACTGAGACTGAGAAACCATTCACAGTGAATGTAACTATAGAAACTACTGAGACTACTGAGACTATTGGGTTCACATCAACTGAGAGCACGGAACGTGTTCCAACAACTGCAGTCATGATGTTAACCACAAAAATACCAATTTCTTCCACCGGTTTATCAGAATTCACAACTGAAACTTCTGAAATAACTGAGACTACAGAATCTGAGAGCACGGAGCCTGGCTTAACAACCGAAGTCTTGATATTAACGACAGAAACACCAATTTCCACTAGCGAGTTACCAGAATTCACCACCGAGTCAACTGAGGCTAAGAAACCAATTACGGCGAATGTAACTATAGAAACTACTGAGACTATTGAGTCTACAGAAACTGAGAGCACAGAACCTGGCTTAATAACCGAAATCCTGATATTAACCACGGAATCTCCAATTCCCACTAGTGAGTTACCAGAAGTCACCACCGTGTCAATTGAGATTGAAAAACCAATTACGGCGAATGTAACTATAAAAACTACTGAGACTACTGAGACCACAGAAACTGAGAGCACGGAAGTTGGCTTGACAACCGAAGTATCGATATTAACTACAGAAATTCCAATTTCCACTAGTGAGTTACCAGAATTCACCACTGAGTCAACTGAGGCTAAGAAACCAATTACGGCGAATGTAACTATAGAAACTACTGAGACTATTGAGTCTACAGAAACTGAGAGCACAGAACCTGGCTTAATAACCGAAATCCCGATATTAACCACGGAATCTCCAATTCCCACTAGTGAGTTACCAGAAGTCACCACTGTGTCAATTGAGATTGAAAAACCAATTACGGCGAATGTAACTATAAAAACTACTGAGACTACTGAGACCACAGAAACTGAGAGCACGGAAGTTGGCTTGACAACCGAAGTATCGATATTAACCACAGAAACTCCAATTTCCACTAGTGAGTTACCAGAATTCACCACTGAGTCAACTGAGGCTAAGAAACCAATTACGGCGAATGTAACTATAGAAACTACTGAGACTATTGAGTCTACAGAAACTGAGAGCACAGAACCTGGCTTAATAACCGAAATCCTGATATTAACCACGGAATCTCCAATTCCCACTAGTGAGTTACCAGAAGTCACCACCGTGTCAATTGAGATTGAAAAACCAATTACAGCTAATGTAACTGTAGAAACTATTGAGACTACAGAGACTACTGAGTTCACATCCACTGAGGGCACGGAACATGTTCTAACAACCGAAGTCTTGAAAACTACAGAGATTCTTTCTTCTACTAGTGAGGCACTCGAAACATCGGAAATCACATCAACCGAAGCTGAATATTCTNACCGTGTCAATTGAGATTGAAAAACCAATTACAGCTAATGTAACTGTAGAAACTATTGAGACTACAGAGACTACTGAGTTCACATCCACTGAGGGCACGGAACATGTTCTAACAACCGAAGTCTTGAAAACTACAGAGATTCTTTCTTCTACTAGTGAGGCACTCGAAACATCGGAAATCACATCAACCGAAGCTGAATATTCTGTTGAAACTGAAGTATTCCATGCCGACGAATACGAAGAAGAATATGAAGAAGAATATGAAGAAGAAACAACGGAAGAATATGAAACATGGTCAGAATACATAGCAGAGATTAGTACAATTAAACCTTATGAAACACCTAAACCAAGCCCTATAACTTTCAGCAGTGTGATAACAGAAATTACAACTGAATCGTCAATAAAAACAGTGAGGACAGTTACAGTTAGTACTAGAGAAATGCCAGAACTCACCACAAAGAGAATTGCCACTATAGGGCCGGTAACTGCAAATGTGACTATAGAAAGTACTTTGTCCGTTGAAATTGAAAGTACTGAAACTTTGTCAACGACAGAAACTCCAACTCTCATTAGTGAAACGACGGAATTGACGCTTGAGTCAACTGTCACTATTGGACCAGTAACAGAAAATGTGACTACGGAAAGTACTGAGACTTTGTCAACAACAGAAACTCTAATTCCTACTAGTGAAACTACGGAATTGACGACTGAGTCAACTATCACTATTGGACCAGTAACAGAAAATGTGACTATAGAAAGTACTTTGTCCAAAAAAACTGAAAGTACTGAAACTTTGTCAACGACAGAAATTTCAATTTTCACTAGTGAGACGATGGAATTGACGACTGAGTTAACTGGTACTACTGAAATAGTAACAGCAAATGTGACTGTAAAAAGTACTGTGTCCGCTGAAACTGAGAGTACTGAAACTTTGTCAACAACAGAAACTCCAATTGTCACTAGTGAAACGACGGAATTGACGACTGAGTCAACTGGTACTACTGAAACAGTAACAGCAAATGTGACCATAGAAAGTACTTTGTCTACCGAAACTGAGAGTACTGGAACTTTGTTAACAACGGAAACACCAGTTCTGACCCGTGAAGAAACAGAATTCTCGACTGAATCAATTGGCACTATATTACCATTAACAGCAAATGTGACTATTGAAACTACTGTGTCCGCAGGAACAGAGACCACTTCGGAATCTGTACTATTTACTGTACCAATGCTTCTCAACGAAACGACAGAGACAATAGAAAAGTTTACAGAAGTATCTACTTTGTCTTCGTACATGACTCCTGAAATCACTGAAGCCCGGACTGTCCAGTATCCGCAGGAGATTAACATAACAGATACGTTTGAGATAACAACATTGCCCCCGGAACTACAGACCGAAACGGAGTACGAAGCAGCGACATTTATCACAGGGATTGGTGAAATTCCTGAATACGAGGAACTACTTAATGTCACCGGGACTACCGTATCTGTAGCGCCTACTGTTCCCACTGAAAGTCCATCGCCCTCTGTTGAATACACGGTGACAGAAAGAACAATTGAATTGTTTGAAGTCAATATCACCACTCCAACTGCTCCAGTGGAGTTTTTCAACGAAACTACACCAACAACGATGTCGTTGATGCTAATTGTCACTTTACCGGAAGTAACTACACGTGCGGAGATCACAGAATTACCATTGCCGAACGCGTCATTTACATTTGAGGAGACGTCAACGACCGCGGAAACAGTGGGGACACCAGCAACACCATTAATTGAATTGGAGATTACGATCCCGAATCAAACATTCATTACGCCCCCCTTATTAACATCAGTGATTACCACTGTCGCGTTGGTTACAAATGAAACGACAATTGAAGAGATTACCAAAGAATTATCTACCATACCCTACGAAGTCACAGCTACTGCAACCACGTCAACGGCGACCGTGAGCATACTCGTAGAGACTAGTACCGCGTTTTCGACAAGCGCCAAAGAGGAGATTTATCCTGAAACAGAAGTGGTACATGATGAAGAATACGAGGAAGAGGAGGAGGAGGAAGAAGAAGAGTACGAAGAGAAAACGGAAACAGGATGGGAGGATTATTATGCGGAACATTTGTCGAGCACCGAGGAGATCGGAACGAATACGACCGTGCAGCCTTACAACGTTACCTCTACGTTGACAAAAGAAACTGAAAGCGTTACTAAGGAAACAGTGGAGGCGACGAGTAGCTTAACTACAGAAGAAAGCTTCGTTCCAACGATCGAAGAAATCGAAAGGAACGTGACCGGTACTACTTCCAGCGCTACTGCGTCGATTACGTTTGAAACGGAGAAAACAAGCTTTGTTACCGAAGAAACGTGGTCGACAGAGGGACGAGGATTAACAACCGAGATATTTACACTGGAATCCACTCCCGAATTCTCTACAGAATATCTGCCTATGGATTACGGCGAGCACACGTACACAGGTAGGACTGGTCAACCGAAGTACACCGTACCAGTTACGATGTTCACAGGTGTGACGAGTAAGGAGCAGCAACAAATGCGACACGAGCAGTTGAAGCAGCAACTGCTCGATAAGATCGCCGAGTTGGAGAACAAGGAGAAAACGATCATCCAGAAAGAGAATGAGCTGGAGATGGAGGAGCATGCGTGGGAGAAGACGAAGTTGGAGCGATTGCAGGCGATAATTGAACGGAAGAAGGTACTCGAAGAGAAACATCTAACCACGCCCATCAGCAAAGAGAAATCGTCCACAAGGAGACCCATCACGCACGAGCCGATCGCATTGGTGACGGCTATGGTGACGGAAGACACGTTGGAGAATGAAGTGAGGAAGTTGAAGAAGAAGTTCATGGAGATAGAAGAGCGGCTGATGGCCAGGGAGGAAACTTTGCAGGAAAGAAGGGACAAACTGGACAATGATAGAAAACAGTTTGAAAAGAGATTACAGGAACTGGAGAAGAAACCCCTGAGCGAGGTGGAGGCGGAAGTAACTACACCGGAAGTTCCAAAATCTGTGGTAACATTCACAACGCCGTCTGTGTCGCAGCTGCCTCCCACGGAGACCACGATCGAAATTCACGAACCGACTGAAAAGGGTAGAGAAGAGATTATTGCAACGACCCAGACGACAACGATATCGGGAGATGAGATAGAGGATTATGACGAGGACGACGAGCACACTGTGGCTCACTTTACCGGAATGCGCCGTGTTACGCAAACGATTTGCATGAACGTGTATAAGAAGGGCGAGCAAGGAATGGCGACCAAGAGGCTTTGCGTGCCGAATGTCGAAGACAAGCGTGTTACCAAACCGATCGACGAGGGGAAGAAGCCTGTGAAGATCGATGAACTGCAGCTCAAGAAGCACGAGTGGATGGAAGGTGCAGCCGTGGAAACTCCTCGGGAGTCTGATAAAAAAGGGTCTGAGGGGGCGCTGTCTGACGAAGGGAACGTCCGCTCTAAACGCAGCAACGTTTGCAAGTTTTCTGACGATTACACGCCAATCGGTCCGGATCTTGAATACGTGGACTATGAGGAACCTCCTCCACCGGAACAGGAGAAATCGGGCGATCATCGTTCCCAAATGAACCACAATTCTGATGACAAAGAAGACGAAACAGTTTCAGAACCCAATCAGTACGAGGAGATTCACGAGATTAGGCCAACAACGGATAATCTGTACGAAGCCACCAATAAGGAGCCCGAAGACATTAGGACGAAAGGTGAGGATCAAATTTACTGTTACACTGCGGATCTTTATGAAAATTCTTAGTTTCGGAAGATTGTTTTAGATAAGAATACAATAACTAAGACAATTCTTTCGACTACTGAATGATTTTTTAAAACCAAAATAAGGTACAAATATTAATGATCGTGGTTAATAGCGACGTTTACTTGTATTCTATGCAGTGTACAATCCCGCACATGTGTGCTATTTTTAATTTGTTAGAGATAGCTTAGAGTCTTTTATTTTCGAAAATTGATACGTAAATGTCACGACGCAAATGAAAGGAATTTGATCTGGAAACAAGTTATCCTCTTTGACTTTGATCGTAAACACTCGCAAAATTTATACTTATAATTAGCGTACTAAGAAAATCTACATATTTATATGTTAATGTTAATAATGTGTATATCCCCCTTTGTTCTCAATCACCTCAATCATTCGCTTTGGTAATGATTTATACAAACGTTGGATTGTATTTTGAGATAAATTGTACCATTCCGCCATAATGGATTTCTTTAACTCCTCTGTGCTATAGTATCGTCATTCATTTTTGCAAACTGCTCGTGTAAGCTCTCCTCAACAATTTTCTATAAATTGCAAAAGATCGAGTGCAATGGAAGACAAAATGGATGTGGGTTCTATTCGCAGACGAGAACAAATTTAATCTAGATGGCATAGACGGGTTTGTACATTACCATCGTGATTTGCGTAAAGGAGAAATTCTAAAAGCTAGGTGACAAATAGATAGTGATAATCTGATGATTTGAGTCGGAATTGGTTACAAAAGGAAATGGACTTAGTATTTGTACAAGGAAACATAAATAGTCAAAGATACTTACAATTAATTCAAGAACAAATTAATAGACATGCACAATACATAATAAAAAATGAATTCATTTTCAGACATGATAATGCTGCAATTCACCGTGCAAAAGTTGTACAAACGTATTTTGAATACGAAAATGTATCTCTTTTGCCATAGCCTGCACGCTTTCCTAATTTAAATATTATAAAGAATTGTTAGCGAGAGCTTGCACGAGCAAAGAGTTTACAAAGATGGAAAACAATACTACAGCATAGAGTTAAAAAAAAATCCATTATCGCTGAATGGTACTTGTCTCAAAATACAATCCAACGTTTGTATATATCATTACCAAAGCGAATTATTGAGATGATTGAGAACAAAGATGGATATACACATTATTATTTTTATTATTAAGATGTAAACACGAATGTTTCCGTTTTACGCTAATTATAAGTATAAATTTTACGAGTGTGCTATCATTTTACCCTCCAAATAATCCTGTTTGTGTTATTTACGGTGAAACTCGAAGAGGATGACCCAATTCCAGATCAAATCTCTTTCTTTTGCGTCATGACATTTACGTATTATTTTTCGAAAATAAAAAATTCTAAGTTATTTATAACAAATTAAAGATAGCATACGAGTGCTCTCATTTTGTCTGGGACTGTAGGTATAAAACATGAATTTTTCGACAATTTTCACAAATTTATAGAAAATACAATCCATATTGAATCTCCTTTGAAGTAGGGGACAGTTGATAGTGAATCTCGTTTGTGTTCTGTATGCAGTCCGTTTGGCAGCAAGTGGTAGGAACTGTGAGAGAAAATTTTTTCGATGATACTACTATACAAGAGCAATTACACAGTANACGTTGGATTGTATTTTGAGATAAATTGTACCATTCCGCCATAATGGATTTCTTTAACTCCTCTGTGCTATAGTATCGTCATTCATTTTTGCAAACTGCTCGTGTAAGCTCTCCTCAACAATTTTCTATAAATTGCAAAAGATCGAGTGCAATGGAAGACAAAATGGATGTGGGTTCTATTCGCAGACGAGAACAAATTTAATCTAGATGGCATAGACGGGTTTGTACATTACCATCGTGATTTGCGTAAAGGAGAAATTCTAAAAGCTAGGTGACAAATAGATAGTGATAATCTGATGATTTGAGTCGGAATTGGTTACAAAAGGAAATGGACTTAGTATTTGTACAAGGAAACATAAATAGTCAAAGATACTTACAATTAATTCAAGAACAAATTAATAGACATGCACAATACATAATAAAAAATGAATTCATTTTCAGACATGATAATGCTGCAATTCACCGTGCAAAAGTTGTACAAACGTATTTTGAATACGAAAATGTATCTCTTTTGCCATAGCCTGCACGCTTTCCTAATTTAAATATTATAAAGAATTGTTAGCGAGAGCTTGCACGAGCAAAGAGTTTACAAAGATGGAAAACAATACTACAGCATAGAGTTAAAAAAAAATCCATTATCGCTGAATGGTACTTGTCTCAAAATACAATCCAACGTTTGTATATATCATTACCAAAGCGAATTATTGAGATGATTGAGAACAAAGATGGATATACACATTATTATTTTTATTATTAAGATGTAAACACGAATGTTTCCGTTTTACGCTAATTATAAGTATAAATTTTACGAGTGTGCTATCATTTTACCCTCCAAATAATCCTGTTTGTGTTATTTACGGTGAAACTCGAAGAGGATGACCCAATTCCAGATCAAATCTCTTTCTTTTGCGTCATGACATTTACGTATTATTTTTCGAAAATAAAAAATTCTAAGTTATTTATAACAAATTAAAGATAGCATACGAGTGCTCTCATTTTGTCTGGGACTGTAGGTATAAAACATGAATTTTTCGACAATTTTCACAAATTTATAGAAAATACAATCCATATTGAATCTCCTTTGAAGTAGGGGACAGTTGATAGTGAATCTCGTTTGTGTTCTGTATGCAGTCCGTTTGGCAGCAAGTGGTAGGAACTGTGAGAGAAAATTTTTTCGATGATACTACTATACAAGAGCAATTACACAGTAGTGACTTTCTACAGATCATAACAATTAAAATAAACGCCTAAATATCGGCAAACCGATCGACAAGAACGTACGTTGCACGGAGTCCATTTGAATATTATGTAATCTTTTACACTCGGATGTCCCCCCTCAGGGAAAATGCTGATAATTATGGCACTTTCGAAATTAACAATTTCAGTTTCATAAAATCTGTATGAAATCAAATTGTTATCAAATTTTATTTAAATAGATTAAACATTTCCAACGTTCTATCATTTTATATTTTCTTTAAAGCTTTACTTACTATTTTGCGAATGAATTCAGTGGGTGCAAAAGGTTATGAACATTTTGAAAAATATTTTTGTTTTTCATAAGTATTCGAACAGTGAGACGTTACACTTGCACAGGAAACGCAACGTTTTTCAACGTGAACGGACGATCTGTAATTTCAATCTCTTATTCGATCTGCCGCGTCTTACGCAAGAATACAATATCGTTGCCATAATTTTCAGCGGTAAAGCAAACCAGACTACCACCCGGCCCCGAATGGCCGACAGAATCGATTTCCCAGTATCACATAGGTGGTACCAGGACGTGGAGCACTGTTTCAGGCGACGAAGATGAGGAAGATTCCGACAGGGAACAAGCAACTTGTTATAATATTATTCTTTCGAAAAATAAGTTGCTATCGAAAAGAAAATCGTCAGCGAAATGGTGCAACATTGAAGCATCGTGAGTTAAACTGATCTCAAAAGCAGTCAATGAGGTACGCTTTAGAGATGAAGAATTCAGAGGTAGATCGTTAAAAATCCGTATAAATATCATAGTAAATTGTATTGTACTTAGAAATAAGGATAATGTGACATAATTCAATGAGCCAGCAGTGAGACGTTACATGTAATGTAAAAATTGTACATATGTATATAGAATTACACAAGAATGGAAACGATGCGACTTTAAAATTAATTCACGTTCAGCCGTTTATAACTCGCCAATTATGTTCATTCCATTTTGGGATGTTATCGTTGCTCTTAATCTCTCGCGCTCAGACTGCAGAAACCGCGGACCTTTCCACAGGAAAACCAGAGTGGTCTCTAAATAGTGATAACCGAGTTTATCTTTCTCAGAATACGGTTTATTAAACACTGTCACGGATTAATTTATTTAAGAAGGAAAAAAAAGAGTAAGAAAACTTAAATACTGTCTTCTAACAGTGAAAAATTATGACAAAGTATCTCTGAAAGATGATACATACAGTCGTGTATCCTGTTAATTTTCCTTGCCCAATTAATTTGTTTCTAATCGTTCTTCCGGCCCATAGATGTTTCGACTTCGTCAATAATTTTTTTTTGTCGTTGGTTTTGGAGGATTTATAGATGCGCGCGGATCTTTTCTGATTAGTGTATAAAAGTTTTACGTCGTGGCTGGAAGTGGATTTCAATATCAAGCATCAAAAGAATGGAACGGATGTTGATGATAGTGGTGTGTGAGGCATTGTCGGCCACGAAAAACGCAGGATCAGTCGTCGAAAAGTCGTCTATGCTATCAGTTTCGTGGTCTACTCGTGATCGTTTCTGTTCCCACTCGATTATAAAAAACAATACGGACGGGTACATTTGCTGCGACCGGAAACAATTATTAACCCATGTCCTCGGTGATTAGAATCTGAAATATCTAATAACTTGAAAACGTTTTGTTCGTCGAGACGTATAAACCAGATATAGTATTGAAGTGTGATGAAAGAAGAAACGAATATGAGTAATGCTCTCAAAGTGTTAATGTTACTCTGGGTAAGTTGTTTGAAATTTTTATTGAATAAGTGGCTGAAATACCATTGCTACAAATTATTAGTAAAATATGTAATATATATATATAATGTTTTGTTATTGTAATATGATTAATTATCAGTTAAAATTTGAAGACGTGATTGAAGCTTCTTTACTTAGCAATGTACTCGTACGATTGTTAACGTAAAACCGTCTTCGCTGCTGAACGTAGATCATCAGCTTAACGGAAGTCTCAAAGCGAGAGTTAGTCATTGATTATAGAGGCGTTTGACCTTTACTCGTGCCGAGCATCGACGAGATTAAAACAGCTTTCATGGAAATAATTATTCGATTATATTTTCTATCATTTTCTAATCAAATTCTTCGCTCATTCTCGGCGGAGAACTTTGAAAATAAAGTGGGCACTTTTTAAACGTAAATGTTTGATTCCAATAAAATAAATAGACTGCGAATTTTACGTGTTTATAGCAAAAATGGTTGTGTAACATTTGAAACAGTGAAAAGCTCAAAAGAAACTAGAAATATCAGTATACCAATTCCAACTTATTAAAATGCTTAATGAGAAGAAATCAAATTGCACTTGGCTCTTATATTTTGTATTTGGTGTATAAAATTTTTATTTTGCATAAAGATCCGCAGTATAATTATAACGATTTGTTCGAGATTGATTAGAATGGGAAGAATTACGAAGGCGAGTTCTCTTCATCAATATTGCGAATATCTTTTGGTAACTACTTTATTAAGGTTTTATTAGTGATTTAAAATCGAAGAAAAGAAAAAGCCACGTTTCTTTCATTGATAAATAACATATCTTTATCCTTACGAAATAAACTTCTTAACAGATACAATAAAATCATGCCGCTTTTCTGCAAGAGTAAATGTTTACTTTTATTTATAAACACATGATTTATAGAAACAATATATACCTAGTTAGTAATCAGTTATATCATTACAATTGTACCCACACTGAATATAATAACGCCATTGATGTACAAAATGAATTGAGGTTCAACGATGTAAATCGTGTTATTTTTAAATTACTTTTCTTTTTTTTTTAATATATTATTTAAGCATTCAATACGCTTACTACTCAATTACTCGAAGAGACTTTCGTTGGGTTTTTAAAGAGTATGCGCCGCAATGCTAACAATGCTTTAATGTCGTGCTATTGCAGATTTGTATCGACGTCCATTGTCAGATGCAGTGGTATGAGCAATCACATGAAAGTTACTTCAATTACAAAAACCTTGATGACAAACCTTCAGTCTCCAGTAGCGGCGACTCCGAAGTTCGAATTGCTCCAAGAATTGGCTTGAAGTGGCCCTTCAGCCCACAAAACCGAATTAAGGCGACGTCGCAACCTCCAAGCACCGGTAAAAGAGATAGTTCGATTCTCTAGGCACCAATAAACATTATAGTGCTCTGGTTAATGTTTGGGATACATTCCTGGAATGAAAAACCCTGCTAAGAACGGCCGTTTTTACGCCATTTAAATTTACAGGGTGTTCATATTATGGGAGACGTTTTCGTGAACCCGAATTTACCAACTTAATCACAGCTGTGCTTTTGTCTTAGACACTTAATTTTCAAAATAACCTTGAACATCGTTTAAACAATTTTACATATGTATGCTAAGAATATCTAAGAATATCTAAGGATATTTAAGAATCGGTGTGATAGAGAAAACGATTTTTAGATTTGTGTCTTAATGCTTAAAAGTTTCTGCGAATCGACCATTGGTTATTGAAACTCAAAAAAGAAGGTATAATTTGTTGAACAACGTTGGTTTCTATATTTTAAATCGTTACAAGAATAATTCGTAGTTAGTTAAATGAGGCTCCACAAATATCACAGTTAAAAGTGTATATTCCGAGAAACGTCTTGCACAAATTATACACAGGAATATATATATATAATATTAATAAATAATATACACAGGAATAGCTTCTGTATTTCCATGCATGAAAAGGATTATAGAAACTGTTTTTAGTCTATTTATACAGGATGGTCGACGCAACTTGTGCACCTCTATAATTTCCAAAATATGCGTTGCACGAAAATAATTGTATACTAAATTTGCATGGTTTAAAGTGGTATTTGGAGATTTGAAGATCGATTTTGTTCTTTTAAATAAAATATTTGTTATATCAAAATATGGAAAGATATCGAATTCTAAGTAAAAAAGTATTGATTTTCGTTAGCCCTAAACCTAATAGCTAATGAGTAATTTAACTTTATTTTTCGAAAAGTTTCATCACTTTTCGCTAACCTGCAGAAATCTGTCATAAGGTTGAATCTCCAACTTGATATAACGCGAAGAAAATTTTCAAGTGAGGAGCAAAACTGAGTTAACACCTTTTAAAACTGTATAACTTTTTAAAAATTGCTCCAAATGACTTGAACTCTTCTGTAAATGTTAGAAGGACTAGTTCACCGTAGAATGACCAAAATGTTTTAATTTTATTATTATTTGGAATAAAAGAAATGTAAAAAATCTCTCGTTTTCTCCCCTTTTTACCTGAGCCTATAATGCGAATTTAGAAAATGCATCTGGTACTTCTCCATAACTTATATGCATGCTGAAAATGTTATCGAAATCGGTTGATCTGTCATGAGCTGTAAACAATCAATAATCGCGAAAATCGCAGTTTTTCACGAATTTCAATCAAAAAGCTTGATTATGCGTCAGCCGATTTCAATGAAACTTTCAGCATGTACATAAGTTACCGAGAAGTACCAAATTTAAATTTGTATTATAGGCTCAGATAAAAAAGTGAAAAAACGAGAGTTCTTTTACATTTTTTTATTCCAAGTAATAGCAACTCCCTCTAACATTTACAGAAACATTCAAGTCATTTAGACCAGTTTTAAAAAAGTTATACCATTTTAAAATGTAAACTCAGTTTTGCTCCTTACTGTAATATTTATTTTTTACTGTTACTTATATTCCTAAATTCTTCAGTTTCTCCTATGTCATTTTAGAAATTTTATTTTATTTTGTATGTATCCTCCAAACGAGGACGATACAGTGATATTAATTGTAGGCTCTAAAACTATGAAAATTGACATTTCCATGAACGTTAATGATAATGCTGAAACGTGTTTAATAAATAATGTTAAATGTCGATTACTTCTTGAGTCTATAACTCGTACAATTATATTTGGAATCCAATAAACTCGTTCGTGTTTACAACATTTTTCAGACGACAACGGGGTACCGAATGATAAATTTCTCTTCCCTGGCAGTATATCAAATAAAGAACAAGTTGACCCAGCACCTGTTTGCAAAGAAACAACATTCTGCGACGATGTTTCGAATTATCCGACAAAATCGGTGAGCGATGCGATTGCGAGACAGAATCTTCCGCATTATATAAACGTCGACGGAGTAAGTATTCTTTCGGAAATACTGTATGTCACAGCAGCAGTAATCTCTTCCTTGAAATTTTACAGTTAATCGGAAGAAGACATGAAATATTTATTTTATGGAATACTTCAGTGATGTATATTATAAATGTGCTGTTTTCTCTTTTCTCTTTGTTAGATCGATATCAATTTTCGGTTGGCAGTTCTTACCGAGTCTCTTTGCATATCTAATGTAAGTTCCATCTGATTAATTCTATGCCTACTTTATGTGCATCCAATTGTCATTCTTTAATTTCTCAAATAGAAATAATTCATCAAAAGCCCATTTTTGTCTATTTTTGTTCTACTTACAAGTAGGCCTTTTTACAGAACATAATAATCCTCTATACAACTACTTGTCATTGTTAAGAAAGCTTGTTACTTGCTTTGTTGAGAAAAGATCAAATAATATCAAGTATAGTATTACAAATGAATAACTTCAAACATACTTTTGGAATAATTACAAGTACCTTGTATAAATCTTCGACTTGAGCGATATTTTTTAACACGAAATTTATGGACTGAGCTAATTTGACTTATTTAAAATTTTATTATATATTATTTTTATATATTTATTATTATTTAATTTATATATATTTAGGTTAAATTAAATTTAACCTATTTGAAGATTTGAAATTAATCATCTCCTAAACTATATAGGTTGCTTCTAAAAATGTTCTAAATGCAACTTACCCTGTTTCGGTGGGGACATCTTATGATAGCCACAAATTCTCTCTAGATAGATGTACCTCCGAGATTTGAAGGTAACTTGATTTTTTAAAATGTAGCTGTATGTTTTTTTCTAGATAAGCTTGTGGTCGATTCTAAGATGAATTCGCTGACCTATAACACTTTGGTCAGGAACACATATCCTTAGTTTGTAAATACAAGAAAAGATGATCATTATTGTGAGTCGCGTGATGTTTACGTACATCTCGAGGAAATACTCGGGCTAAATGAATTTTGGGGATATTTCCGAAGTTAAGTTTTGAACGGCATTAAATGATCTTGAACGATCTCGAAAGACCAAAGTGTTATAGGTCAATGAATTCGTCTTGGAATGGACTATAAACTTACCTAGAAAAAAACATACAGCTACATTTAAAAAAATCAAAGTCACCTTCAAATGTTGTAGTTGTAATCTGTGTTACTGTCATAAGATGTTCCTTCGAGACAGGGTAAGTTTCACTTAGAACTTTTTTAGAGATAATTAAGTGTAAATCTTCAAATGGGTCAGCCTGTATTTAAAACTTAAATATTATTTTTTAAATACATACTTTGTTTTTTAGTTACGTAATGAAATATGTGTAAATATTAATACTTACCCTCCGCCGACCACTTCATTTCGCATTGTCGAACGTGGTATACCAATTTTTACGGTTATGAGTCAATTTGACTCATAAAATGATTTAACAGTTAATCACTTTAAACAAATGAAATTAAAAAATGTAAAAATATCTGCATGCGTAAACATTCATGTTCAATCTTTTCAATTTATCAGTTAGCCGGGGTCAAAAAAAGGCTTATCTACCAACCTCTTTCATCATTCCGATTTATATAGCGCGTGAGAACAGAGTATTTGTAGTTAAATAATATAAATTTATGAAACCAATTTTTTACAACAATAATTTGGCTCACCAAGGTAATTTCGATATTTATTTGTAATATATATATATTTCAATTGATATTTATTTTACATCTAATTACGTAGGATTGCTATTATGGGAAAAAATTAGAAAAATTTTCTTTTGTTAAAAAAACTAGTAAAAATAAGGAAAGATCAATCAGATAATGAATCGGATGCAACAGATATGAAACTATGTGATAACAAAATTGAAATAGAGGAAAAAGTGTTATGTGTATATTTTCTACTAAAAAAAAGCAAATTCTGAAACTGAAATAATAAATATTTTAATAATAAATCTTTAATTTAAATTGATTTGAATTTTGCAATAAAACTTCAATTTTGTTGTATGGATCAAATTGATTCACTTCAGTAAAAATAAGTGTATAATCAAAAAAATAGTGCAGTAATCAAACGAAGTTAACAATAAATTTCTTCCTAAACAATATATTCTTACAGTTCTTTATTTTTATTAATATTCTTGTAGCACGCGAAAAATTTGATGGTACGTTTGTTCCTTTTATAGTTTAC